TGGCCTCTGACAACACCCCCCAACGATCTCACCTGATGTATAGATCGTCTATGGATAAAATTCTATATTGACTTTACTATGATTTCTAGTCAATATTACACCTAGATTTACCACTTTTCAGTAGGACATGATTTTCCTGATAATTTACTGAAGGAAAACTACTAATAAAATAATTCCGCAATAAATGTTACTCAATACAGGAGTGACCAAACTGCTCTTTCTATCACTTAGAGTGCATGCTAGTTATCTAGCAGGTTCAGGATCACTCACTTTTCTCCTGTGGTATGATAACCAAGTATTGCTGAGAGATTATTCAATTAAGAAGTCCCTCCACCAAATTCTCACTAATTCTCACTATGACACTTTTGTTCAGCTGTGTCTAACTGACCCTAACTCATGCTTAGAGTGACATGTTAGTTTTATATTTGCTTTTATCTTTTGGAGCAAACGAACCAACCACTGGTGAGGAGAATTAAACTTATATTTCTACCTGAGGTTTGAGAGGGGGCAGAAGTGGCGGCCTTTTATGCTTTTCAGAGGCCTCTTTACTCCCACGCCTCACACTAGTTACATGTGCTACATTTGTATTATAGATAGTTCTAGAATGATATAGGGGCTTGGGCTGTGTAAGCTTAATAATGGACTTAGGACATGACTCAGCAATAAGTAATTCAGTTCTTTGTCTTTTGGGCTGATCTTAGCGGGGTCTTGTAGCGCTAAAGCTATGCTCTACACCGCCTTAATTACAAACGGTTATCTTTAGAAATGACTCAGCTATAAAGGAACTTTCTAGACTGTTCTCTAATTCACCCCTTTTTGTGAAGCCACATCATTACTAATGTTCTAGAGCTTTCCCAATTAATTAACTGATCCGCGGACTTCTGAATCACTTCATGCTTATGATCCGAGATCCAGATCATCAATCATTCCTTTGTTCCGATTTATTTGAGCTTAAAATCAAAAAGTTTTGATGAATCATGGGAAAATATACAAGATCCAGTTTTTTAGCATTTTCTCCTCTTCTGATGCGATCAAAAACTGTCCGCCCACGCCGGGGAATACTCTGTCATATGATATTCGGTCCGCCAGACTTCCGGGCGCCAATATATTTCCCTTGAGTCACATTACTTTTTGTAAGAATTAGCAAATAAATATATATGAATTATAAGGTGTTTCGCCGTTTGAGCGATATCTCCGTCAGTTTTGAAGCTTTTAGAATGAAACAAAACCGTGGATAAAGTTTAGAAACAGTCCTTTCAGATGGTAAAAATATTACAGTCAAAAGCTTACTGGTTTCCGAGATATTCACATTTCTTTCCCAATGTTCCTTCTTATTCTGCCATCTATGTGCTATTTTCTTGTTGTAGGGATATATTCTTTGAATATTATACCTATGCCAGGTTCTAGGCATGCTTGTAGTAGATTAAATCTCATGCTACATGGGTGTAGATAATTTATAATGATCTTCTAATGTCTGTCCAGTCTCATAAAGATCATGAGATCTGTTAAACATCTGAACTTGTCACCTGATTGTTGACTATTCTGATAGATCATTGTTTTATTCTTTGAATATTATTTCTCCTACAGCGGCTCGATAGGCTGGGGTGGGATAGGTTAAAGTTGCCTGAACGGCATAGCTCAAAGGCCTAGGTATAGTTAGCATTGTCATGCAGAAGCATCAATTTGTTCTAACTTACTTTCTGAATTCTGTCCTGTTGACTTATAGCGTGGAACGTATGAACCAACATCTCAGGGACACGGTCCCTTAGTATGCCAAGTCTGGTATCGAGTTTTATATCACTTGAGTGGATCCCATTTTTCAACTGTGAGAAAACCTCCTTTACGGCTGTGGATTGCTGACACCGTTTCACAGCTTGTTTCAATGGACGCTGGATACCCACATCGCAGGGCTGCCAGAGACCCATACAACCACCAGGAACGTAATCATGTGAAGGCAGGGGAGCAAGAGGAGTACCTGGAGAAATGGTACGAAAAGGCCATAAGAATGGCCGAAGTGAGAATACTCACTCCCTAAGTATTATCCAAGGATAGTTATCGTAAATCCAGATGCGAAACTCGAGGGATGCATGCATGAACCAGCCACACATCCAGTTGCCACACACTCTTGCAGCGGACCGAGAGAAAGCTGTGACTTTTTAGCATTGAAATAAGGGACCAGGATGTGTGTTACGAATGACTTCATAGTCATGATGTTTGCCCAGTATGTGTCACTTCCAGAGACCTTGAAGATGAAGCCAAGTCTCATTGCTTCCTCATAACTTGGGACACTCTTTGACGGCAAACTCATGGAGGTCTTGCCACGGAAGATGGCCTGGAATGGAAGGAGAACTCCACTAGCAGAGATTGCGACATTAAGAGTGAACGTGCACTTTTCATCATGGCCAACAGCAGAGACCTGGCGTGATCCCTTCTGTTCATATGTGGATGCTGAGTTCTGTTGATAGATGACTTGCGTCTGATCTGAATTCACGTGGAGACTGCTGGGGATTGCATAATGGCAGATAGAGTAAGCTTGACAAAGCAATGAAGCATGAATTTTCTCATCAGCATCGGCAGGTATTTTTTGTGCGGCGCATGTCACATGTTGCAAGGTCCAATTCATTTCCCCTTGGAGAAACTTTCGAACCCAAGACATGCTTGCTGCAAACACACTCCCATCTTCATTGACAACAGTTCTTAGGATGGTAGGTTGGGTGTGTTGAATTTGGGCGATGATGATGCCTCAGATCTGGTGAGCATCTAATGCAGCACCAGTCCGTCAAATGCTCAGTAGCGTCTGTTTAATTGTGGCAATAGTGTCTGGGTAGGACGCCTGTCCCAATCATCTCTTAAGCTTTCAGGATAGCTCCAACCATTCTTGACTCACCAATATCCCTCGCTGTGTAACCTTTCCTCCCAGACAGTTCTCTTTTGCAACCTTTGCCAATGTTTCCTCAGACCAGCATGGATGTGTCCCAGTACAGTCAATCCACTTGCAAACAACATCTGCATGCAACAAGCGAAAGAGCTTTGGGCTCCTTGTTTGGCACCCCTTCACTATTTCAGTGGGACTCATGTTCCAGTCAATAGTTGCCACCACTTCGGTTATTATTGTCCAGAAAACAGGTTGGAACCAGTTTGTTGCCTTAGCAAATCAGCGCACCCTCTGCCTAGGAGGCCAGACCACATTATTTGGGTGGTGAGTGATTTTTTGCTGTTTTTGTTCCCTCAACCATTGCTCAATGTGACGCTTCAGCCTTGATATCTCTGCAATTTGGGCTGAGTGTCTTGAAATGCTGGTACTTGGGTCCACATTAAGCAAGCGCTAGAAATTTATCAGCAGCCATCACAATCCTGGTGAATCAATATCACCTTTTTCTTCATGTTGTTACTGGCCACTGCCAAGCTTGCTCAGTGATGCTGTTAGAGATGGGCGGAAACGGACGACTCCGGAGTGGAATCGGAGACTTAGCGTGGAGGGACCTTGGCCTCAGCGACTCAAGCGGAGCGCTGTGCCATTGCTGTTTGTCCATTTGGTCCTTAATTTCACAGTAGGTGAGCAGGAAGTCTCTTGGGGGCATTTCAGGTCGATTTCGGACTGAAACCAGACGAGTATGTACAAGCGCCGATATATATAAGGAAGGGGCAAAAGCACAAGGAGAAACAAAGGGTGACCGAATCGGAACGAAGACGTCCGAACGGGAACAAAGGGTTAGAGGGAGCGGAGCGGTACCGAAGGTCATAGGGCAAGACCTGTGATACATCCGAAAGGAGGTAGAGTGGGCGAGGCCCAGAGGGGCAGGAGGATGAGGGGAAGTGGGGGTGATGACTAACTGGCTAGAATAGAAAGAAGCAGTAGTCCAAATAGGGATGAGGGGGAATTGCGAGAAATACATTACAAACGGCGAGAGTGCCGGAGGCGGTCCGCGAAGCTCGGGGGTTGCGGAGCTTACGGAGGTTACGGAGGCGGGGTTGGAAGTCCGAGGAATATTGGCAATGGTGTTCACGTAGTATGAGGTCACCAATGCAATGGACTAAGACCGAGGTGGAGTCAAAGTCCGAGGTATGGACTATGACGGAGGCTCGGAGTAAGGTACGAACGGTGTCCGAGTGTGAAGTACGGAACAGCGGTGGATGGTCGTAACTTGGCGGAAGGGTGGCGGAGGAGTGACGGAGGAAGGAGAGAGGGGACAGGTAAGGAAGAGTAGTCAGGTCCGAAGGTGGATATCGGAACAGACGGAGAAAGCGTAGGGGATGACGGGAGGGTGGAGGTGTGGTGAGGGGGGAGCGGAGTTGTAGGAAGGGTGGCGAGTAGGGCGATGTTCGGTCCGAGATGAGTATCGGAATGGACGGAGAAGGGGTCGGAGAGGTAAGAGGAGGGGTGTGTTGCCAAGACCGAAGGTGAGTATCGGAAAGGCAGCGGTAGGTTATGACTCCGGAGGTGAAGAGGGTGGAGGTCCGGAAGTCGGGTCGGGGTCGGGTATGCACGGATATGACAGATGCTGCTGTCTTTCCCAGGCCAATGCTCGACTTCTCTCCAACTTCACTTCTGCTGCTAGCTCTTTGGCTGCCCTCACTTCTTGATATCTCTTGGCAATTTTCTCAAATTCAACCAGTGATTGCTTCTTAAATTCCTTGTGGCTGGTTCAGCTGAAGAACTGGAGCAACCCATGCCCCTCATCCCCTTTTGGGACCATGAGGTCCAATTTTGTTCTCTTCCTTTTTGATTCCCTGACATCAGAATTTTGCAGGGATCCTGTCGAGGTGTTATTTTCCTGGGCTACTGTTATTAGTTCCCAAGTTTCTGCCACTGGGACAGTCGCCACTGGGACAGCCACCAATGATGAGAATGCCATTGGTGCCGGCTCTGCTGTTGCTTGAGCCAACATTGTTGCTGCTGAGGTTGGTACTACTGGGGCGACTGTCATTTCCAGGGTGGTTGCTTTGGGGATAGGTGCACTCTAGTCACAGGCTGGTGAGATTCCGTTCCATTCTCTTGGCTATGTGTGTTCACTTACATGTGTAGCATGGTGGTTAAGGATTGATGTCAGCAATCTAATGCGCAACATTGCAGTATCGATGCAGTCACAGAGTGAGTATTTAGTCGGGTTGAGACAATGCATCAGTGCATTGAGGGCAAAGAAGCCGCATGAAGAGAGGTCATTTTGGTAAGCAATAGGCAGCCATGCGATCCGGAATGGAGACACTGATTTGTTCAATTCCAAGTATGATGCATCAAGCCACCACTGAAGGGCACAAATCGCTTCAGTGGCTGGAACTGATGTCTTGTCATCTCTGGTTGGTGCATGTAAGGAATCTGCAAGGTAAATGGTTGATTCCGTGGGGGAGATGAGGAATGCAACCCAGTGGTTATTGTTAACATGCGTAATTCCACCAAACTGAGTCACAGATCCAGATGACAGCTCAGAGCCAAATTGACAGAGATTTTTGCAGGTATGATCATGCCGATACTGTTAGAGATGGGCGGAAACGGACGACTCCGGAGTGGAATCGGAGACTTAGCGTGGAGGGACCTTGGCCTCAGCGACTCAAGCGGAGCGCTGTGCCATTGCTGTTTGTCCATTTGGTCCTTAATTTCACAGTAGGTGAGCAGGAAGTCTCTTGGGGGCATTTCAGGTCGATTTCGGACTGAAACCAGACGAGTATGTACAAGCGCCGATATATATAAGGAAGGGGCAAAAGCACAAGGAGAAACAAAGGGTGACCGAATCGGAACGAAGATGTCCGAACGGGAACAAGGGGTTAGAGGGAGCGGAGCGGTACCGAAGGTCATAGGGCAAGACCTGTGATACATCCGAAAGGAGGTAGAGTGGGCGAGGCCCAGAGGGGCAGGAGGATGAGGGGAAGTGGGGGTGATGACTAACTGGCTAGAATAGAAGGAAGCAGTAGTCCAAATAGGGATGAGGGGGAATTGCGAGAAATACATTACAAACGGCGAGAGTGCTGGAGGCGGTCTGCGAAGCTTGGGGGTTGCGGAGCTTACGGAGGTTACGGAGGCGGGGTTGGAAGTCCGAGGAATATTGGCAATGGTGTTCACGTAGTATGAGGTCACCAATGCAATGGACTAAGACCGAGGTGGAGTCAAAGTCCGAGGTATGGACTATGACGGAGGCTCGGAGTAAGGTACGAACGGTGTCCGAGTGTGAAGTACGGAACAGCGGTGGATGGTCGTAACTTGGCGGAAGGGTGGCGGAGGAGTGACGGAGGAAGGAGAGAGGGGACAGGTAAGGAAGAGTAGTCAGGTCCGAAGGTGGATATCGGAACAGACGGAGAAAGCGTAGGGGATGACGGGAGGGTGGAGGTGTGGTGAGGGGGGAGCGGAGTTGTAGGAAGGGTGGCGAGTAGGGCGATGTTCGGTCCGAGATGAGTATCGGAACGGACGGAGAAGGGGTCGGAGAGGTAAGAGGAGGGGGGTGTTGCCAAGACCGAAGGTGAGTATCGGAAAGGCAGCGGTAGGTTATGACTCCGGAGGTGAAGAGGGTGGTGTCCGGAAGTCGGGTCGGGATCGGGTATGCACGGATATGACAGATACCTTTCAAGGCCATTTCCATCTGGTTGTGTGAAACACCCAGTTAGGTACTGAACATCAATGGGGCTCAAGAGCCTAGTGCTTATTCCGCTTGCCATCAAGTCCCTTTCCAGAAGTTCGATGTGATATGAGATATCGGTAGTCACAAGACAGGATAAAGTAAGGTGCCATAGCAGTCCCCCAATAGAACTCAAAATTGATTTTGAGAACCCAAGGACTTTTGTGTTCCACTCGCACAATAGCAGCTGCTCTTTATAGCAGTGCAGTGAGTAGGGTAATTGCTTGCCAATTCCTCAACTTGTCCTTCTGACTCTTTCCACATTTTCTGGACATTCCTGATGACTTCCCAGATTCGGAGGATGCAGATTGGGACATAATGGATGCCAATCTTGACTGAACAAGGAGGGTTGTCATGGTCAGGATCATACTCAGAGATAAGTTTCTTTATGGTGGGGAGGGATGGACTGGGGATGTTGTGGAGGTCACTTTCGGCTAACTCTGTGATGGAGGGTGGGTGATGACTGAGACATGTGGATATTGTTTGTAAATTTGTCTGGATAGTTGGGAGCTTAAACCGGAGAAATTCAGCAACACGCAGGGTTCCCTCAGGAAAGTATGGCCCAATAAGAGCACTTGGGATGTCACTATACAAGATGGGCTCATCTGTGCAAGAACAAATACATTTTGCAAGAGCAAAACCATCCATAAGTGAATTCCCAGCTCAAAGAAAATTTTTGCGAAGATGGCAAGCATATTTTCAAATTAATTACATTAAAGCTAAACATGACCATCGACTACTAAATGTGACCACCAGCACACTGCTTTCTATCTGAGTCATGCCCCCAACCAGTTGGGTGTCACGCATCAAAATGAGGTGCCGGTTCATCATTTTGTGTCACGCTTGGGACCCTGCTGGTTGTTGGTCATGCATGTACAGTATTGGATAGGGATTGGGCTCACACCCATATAGGTTTCAGAGCCGCAGAATGTACCTTTACTCTTTTCCAAATGGCTTCAAACTTGGCACGATTACTGTGTGGATGTAGAAGTACGTTTTCGCCAGAGGGATTTCCATAATTCTTCCTGATGCATGAAAGAAGTGCGTACATTTTCAATGTCCCATACACATATACGAAACTGCTTCAAAATGGGTTTATATCCTGCATGCGTATTTTAATATTATTATGGGACTATAATTATGGCTATATTCAATATGTGTTGTGTGGTCAAGAGGAATGGTTTTCAGATGAGGACGGTGGCCATCCATTGTTGCACATGACTGGAACCCGGCAAGCCTTATGGCTTGCCGACCCCCAGCAGGGCCTCGACGATGGATGTCAGTTGAGGGGGAGTTCTGCTACCACAGCGAACACCCGGCACGGGCCTAAACCTTCACACAGTGCCCCTGTTTAAAACTAATTAGGCCTCTAACATCTGAAGGGAGGATGACGTGGCCACTGTGGTAATGCCAATCAACCGCAACCCCGTAAGCCCAGAGCCACACTGGCTGGAGAGATGCAAGAGCGCGGGTGCATGTCCCGCCGTCAAGCCAACCCTTCCTTTTTCTTCTCACCACTACCTTTTTGGGATGACGAGCGCGATAGTGGCAACGCCAATGGTGACCTCCGTAAGCCCAGACGGGACTGGCCAGAGGACTGTGGGTTCAAGTCCCACCATCACCCCAACCCTTCCTTCTTTTTCTCTTCTCCACTACCTTTTGGGTTGGTGAGGTGCAATAGTGGTAGTGCCAATGGTAGCCTCCATAAGTCCATGGGCAGGCCGGAGGAGTGCAGGTTCAAGTCCTGCCATCACCCCAACACCCTTCCGATTCATCTTTCTCTCCACTACCTCTTAGTGACGAGGCGCGATAGTGGTAGCGCCAACGATAGCCCCATATGCCAACAAAAAGTTGACTGCAAGGAATGCAGGTTCAAGTCCTGCCGTCACCCCAACACTTTCATTTCTCTCCACTACCCTTTCTACCAAAGGCCTATCTGCCACATGCCTTTATTCAACAAGCATGAGCAAGATGCCACCAACACCCATCGCCTTTCGCTGCCACTGGAACATTCACCAGCCTACCGTGACATAAACCCGTGAAAGCACCCTCCAACTCACCCACCCGCAAGAACCGCGCACTCAAACATTGACTTAACCATAGGCACACAGCAGCAAAACATGCGACCCCAACACTGGGGGTCGCGTGTCCTTTTCTTTGGCTCTATACAACCTCTCCCCACCTCCATTCTCCCTCACCCGTTGTTCAATCTCAGTGCAGGGGTCGCATGCCCCTTTATGTGTTATTGCTTCATCTCACTTTATTCTCCTTCACACCATTGATTACTCGATGTCTCATACTTCCTAGGTCACACAAATTTTTTTCTTCACATCCTTATGTTCTCCAAACTTTTTTCACCCGAGTCACTATAGTACGGCATATGCCGATAGGCACGGTTACGTACTTTGAAATGAATACATCCATCCATCCATCCATCCATCCGACCCCCAGCACTGTACATGTCCTTACATGGTATGGGTGTCTGGGTGGTGTCTTCGGGTGAGTGGGATCCTCGGGAGTTGTGTCGTCAGGGGGAGTTGTCGGGGTAAGGTTATGATAGGGTGAGCGGCTCCGTGCCTTGTTCTCCCATCATTGCCAGAGATGGCCTTGACAAACGTGCGGCACGACTCCTGCATTCGGGTTATGGAGACGTCCAGTTTCGTTTGGTCTTCTCTTGCATCTGATTGTGGGACACCCAGCTCGATTAATTGAAGCTTTCCAAGAAAATTCAGCATGTGGCAGCAACTGTTAATGCCTCTAGACATCACCTTAAGTGCCTCATCCACCACAGAATCCAGGAACTCCTTCCTACTCGTACCAACTTCGGTATCGGTCTGTCCTTCGTTGAGATGATCAGCCCATGCACGTGCTAGCGCTGCTCCTGTTTTATATTCGAGGATGGATTTCTTGAGAAGTGCACCGGCCTTTGTGAACAGCACGCGCAATAAAATAAAGACCATCTGCGGCCTCAGACAACAGAGACGACCTAAAACTCGCCATCAGCTGGTGCCCCGGCCATTGTGGTAATGAACGGGCCGATGAGCTAGCCAAAGAGGGTGCCCGTAAACCCACTGATCGCCCCCACTACCACTCACTCTCCTATGTAGAAAGCCTACATAAACGCGAATTGCTAGAGGCGTGGAGAGAACAATGGACTTGCACACCCAACCCACCCAAATCTGGATTCTACCCAGCAAACCACATCCCCCCCTCGATCAAACCCACCACCAGGTTTAAATCCCTGGACCGAAAAACTTTCAGCAGGATCACACAGTTCCGCACCGGCCACGCTCACATCGGGGAATACTACCACCGATTCGGCATCCAAGCGGAGAGCAAGGAGTGCACTTGCGGCGCATACATGCAGACCAGAGAACACGTCCTACAGGTATGCCCAAAATTTAAGAGATTCAGACACATACTGGGTCGCGGACGTCAGTCTAGGTTCGATATCCTCATGAGCAAGCCAAAAGGCATTCTCAGACTAGCGGAGTTCATCAAGAAATCACGAGCACTGGAGAAGAGAGGCAACGGGAGCAGACCCGAGGCCCCAAACGGAGAAGGAGACAGTGATGGACGCAGAGTAGAGCGACGCAGCCGACCGACAACTATTTATTTTTATATATGTAACATACACACATTACCCCGACAACTCCCAACAACTCCCGAGGATCCCACTCACCCGAAGACACCACCCAGACACCCATATCATGTAAGGATGATCCCCTCATGTACACACGCTGTAGCGAGTTGGGATGGCCGCACTGCCACGTTGACACCAGGCCGCGGGGTAACAAAATAGAGTACAACAACAACGCGCAACAAAATTGCATACTCTGCCTGCAGCCAAAGATCGCTTTTTATGTCATGACCTTGAAACGAAACCCTTTGTCCGGAGGAGGATACGCTAGCGGTAAAATTAAATCATTGATCCCAAATATAGGATTCGCGATGAAATACAGTATTGCGCACTTTTGAGACCATGATCAAGCTCCTCACGAATATGACTGCCAATGCTCATTCAATATCTCGATAAGCAACTTGTGCGTCTCTCCTCGATAGGGCTCTTTAAATGCTGATTGGAGACCTGATGCAACCCGTCAGGCAGATGAGAAACTCAAGATAAACAGGTGCTTACGGTCAATACTAGAACCGGTTGGAAGCCCACCACTCTCCGGATCAGTAATGCCCGTTAGGGGCTGCATATCGACTAGTAATGTCATCATATACACTATAATACTACCACAGAGTGAACATAATTTACCATCATTCAACAACTCGAAGAAAGACTGGTCGCGGTATGCTTTACAAAGCTTGGACAGTAAATTTGTTGGGGCAGCGCAAATATATTCATCACATGTATCCTCATCAGGAGCTTTGGTACCAGTGGGTAGAGCAATATATTTAGCAATTTGGTGTTTCGCAAATTCTAAGTTTTTCTCCGAAAAATTGCGGTGCGATAGTCATCGATCGCCTGGATAACACGACTATCAAATGTTTGCCGATCGCCTCTGTCAGCCCCGTAGAATCGATGTGATCTCGGGGTCGGGTTTCAAAACCAGAAAATCGACATTACGGCAACATCCGGCAAGGCATCGACGTAATGGTGAGTTGAACGGTCCTCGGAATAAATGGAATCGGCAGCGGACGATGGGAAGCACACGAGCAGTGTACAGTCCGTTAATACGGATGCGCCGCCCGAAAACGGGTCGTTCAGCTCAAATTTGGATATGTCAACTCCTCACCGAGGCTCCTCTAACTCATTGCCAGACAGTGCATCGGCTCTTGCTCCTAGTTCAGCGGCCACCTCCAGAGCACAAGGGACCGCTATTCCGCCTCCATCAAACCCGAAGCCTCTAAATCCTGTAGTCCATAATGCTAACCGTAAGGTTTCCGAGAAGAAGTCTAACCCATCACTGTCCAATGGCAAGACGGTGGTTCGGGATCGCCCATTTGCCCTGAACCGATTCATATTATACGAGACGAAGCGCTGGTTTTATGTTGTTGGCTCCAATTCCTCTGATACCCTACATAGGGTTCTGAAAGTGGACCGAACTACCCAGGATGAACTCATCGTCATGGAAGACGAGGTTGTCTATAGCGAGCGTCAGCTTAATGATTTACTACGGACGCTCGAGGATGGAAACAAGGGGAGCGGCGGTCTGACCAGAGTTGGGGTTTTCTTTGGCATCGCTGGTATGAGCACTTAACTGTATATTGTGTCCAGCTCCGACTCAAACCCTCCTGAAGGCTTTGTCCGCTTCACTGCGGGATGGTATCTAGTCGCAATAACGAAGAGAACTGTCGTTGCCCTACTGGGTGGTCATTACCTATATCATTGTGAAGAGACACAGATGTATCAAGTAACTTACAATCAAAAGGTGGAGAAACCCTCTGAAGAACAACGGTGCGCATGTCTTCCGTGCATCACCTCGCCGTCTTCTTTTCGGATGCTGAGCAGCTGTTCACAGTCTGATGGCTGCTTTTCGCCAAGTGGACATGACCCGAAACTTCTATTTCTCTCACACTTATGATATCACCTCGTCCCTCCAACATAACATGACGCGCGGATTCCTCTCGAGACAGCATGGCCACTCCCACAAACCCTGCGGAGGTCATCCAAATCACGACATCCCTGGAAAATCTGAGAAATCAGGATGGAAGTTCAATGACCGTTACGCGTGGAATTACCGCATGTTATTAGAAGCGTTCGATCCAGAGAAGAATATGCAAGCGAAACAAGCGGACGCAACGAAGAATCATTGGATTTTACCACTCATATACGGACATGTCGACCAAGCAAGTGCGTATAAGTGCTGGCTCTTCAATCCGTGTCCTTGTATTTATCAAATCGGTGGTGAGCGACTGACACATACATGTCTCGCAGAACTCACGGTCGGAGGCCGTGTCATTTTCGTGACACTAATTGCCAGGCGATCACGACATTTCGCTGGCGCCCGGTATCTCAAGCGTGGAATAACCGAAGAGGTAGAGGCTTAATGCGTCTGTCGTCTATCCTGCGTATTCTAAGCCATCTCTTTAGGGCAACGTCGCAAACGAGGTCGAAACAGAACAGATAGTCTCTGAAGCCCTGACGACTGGCTTTTATTCACCTATCCCCCGAGACGAGCGGGAACGAATTATCTTTTTAAAGAGAAGCCCCAATGCCAGATACACAAGTTATCTTCAGGTCAGTCACAACTGCTCTGGTCCCCGATTGCGGGTCATATCTATGCTTGCTCCGTATCATGTCAGTATCGAGGCAGTGTGCCGATCTACTGGACTCAGGATATAACGAACATGAGTCCTCGCCCACCTATCGAAAGTATGAAAACTCCTGACCTCTGCTAGGAAGATAAATGGACTTCCAACCATACTCACGTTTCATAGTCACGGTGATGGACCCTTATTACACAGCTGCTGCACGTCACTTCGATAATCTATTCGAGCGCTATGGGACCCCAATCATTATTCTCAACCTCATCAAGGTTCTTTTCCGTGTGAAAGCGCTAATCTCATCCCGCTAATGAAGCACTTCAGTCAAGAGAGCCAACTCCACGAGAGAGCAAACTACTATATGAATATACGCGTTGTGTGGAATACCTCAATCAGTTTCTGCCGGAGGATAAGAAGATGCACTATCATGCTTGGGACATGTCGCGCGCGTATAAAGAGTGAGTTGAGCCCCGCGTGCCCGGTGAGGATTATCCGTCTAATGTTTGTTTGTTCTAGGAAGAAGCAGGATGTCATAGGAGTTCTGGAAGATATTGCGGAAGAATGCATTAATATCACCGGGTTCTTCCATTCAGGAGCCGAGCCGTACTCGCATGCATTGCGAGCCGAATCTGAGTAACTGCAAATCCGCATCCTCCCTGAGCCACAGCTACATACTCACCTACGCTGTTATAGGGAAATTCCGTATCGACCGAAGATTTCTCTACAGAATGGCATTACAAGGACTAATTGCGTAGACTGCCTGGATCGCACAAACGCTGCACAATTCGTCTTTGGAAAAAAGGCTCTGGGTCATCAGCTATATGCCCTGGGTGTAATCGAAAGTCCCCAGTTACCGTTTGATTCTGATGCGGTCAATATGTTGACCCAAATGTATCATGATCATGGCGACAGTGGGTGACGCCTCTCTCACTGCAGAAAAGGCTTGTTGAGACATACCCTATCAGCCATTGCCCTTCAGTACACCGGAAGCGCGCTGGTGAACCGCGTGGAAACGTACCGCCGGATGCCCCACTGGAATAGCCATTCGCGCGACATGATCGAGAACATACGACGTTTCTACGCCAATTCAATGCTAGGCAAGTCCACCTTTGCATTTTATGACCTATTGCGATTTCAGACAAGCACCCGCCTTCAGACGCGGACAAGCAGACCGCAATCAACGTATTTCTTGGTGTCTCCACGGTCCCACCCACCATACCACGTTCACCCCCACCGAAGTCCTATCAATTATGGTATAATCCGGAGCACTTAGAGACCCCCTACGTTGTAGACGACTGCGAAAAATGCCTATGGGATTTCTCCAATCAATCTGAATATTGGGTTGAGTATTACCGTCCGTCGGCATTCACGAGCCTCGGGAAACACTTTGCATACAGAATGAATAGCACAGCGAGGCTTCCCGGGTACGACTTCTTTGGCTCCCCTTGTTGCTGATAACTGAATCCCTCCGCTTCGCAGTGCCAATGTCAACGAGCCCGATTACAGCCCATTCCGAAACCGTGCAGAAACAGCACATCAACCCCCTCGGTCAGTTGTTCCATCTACTGCCTCAAACCTACCTCAACTTGAAAGTGCCTCCAGACTGATGGATGGTGTGCGTCGCCTGATTGGAGCGAATTCTGGCACGCCGCACAGAAAAATTAGTGACAAAGCAACGAAAGAAACCAAGACCGTACTGGTGAAAGATGAGGCGGATGATTTAGACGTAAACAGCATTGAAGCGATCACTGCGCGCTTATTTAAAGGCGAGATCTCAGAGTCAGAGGAAGCGGAGTATGAATGGTAAGGCAAATGGTTCGTGTTCCGGCGCCGCCAGTTAATTTTTTCCCCAGGTACGTCGAACAACCTCAAGCCCTGCTCACATCCTCTGGCCTATCTACGGATCGCAAAGACCTCGAGCTCTATGCCAGTGGGGTCGCAATTTCCCAAGACCCAGATTTTCAAATGGATGGACCGCCAGACAAGGCGTACATTGCTTACATCCAGCGAGGACAGCCGGGTGAGCACACGTTGTCTAGCACTGGGCCATCACCCGCTCCGAACCAAGGTTCGGGCTCTGGAGGGTTTAGCTATGAGCGGTGGGTCGCCAGCGGAACCCGTAGAGTCACAAATGATTTGTTCCACCTTCCGTCAAGTTCTGCAGCGCCATAAATGCTCGAAGACCCCACCTTTTCTATCTCAACTAACCATCTCTCATTCGTGTCATCACCTCCAAGAACCGATTAATGGTATTGATCTTCCGTACTTATTCGATCCATAGAAGATGTACGATGTCTTGTATAAATATAATCCGTATCCACTATTTGCCTGTAATCATTCGCAAGATACGGACCACCCTCCCCAGTCCACCTTGCCCTCTTGAATAGCAATTAATGTCCGGTAGAAGGTACCTGCCACAGGACCCAAACCTTCTTCATGCACAGGCAAGAGAATATCAGCCTCTTCATAACCAATCCTCCCTATGGGGGCGATAATCGCTGCTGTACTAGCCCCAAACGCCTCAACGAGCTCCCCTGACTTCGATAATGACCGGAGCCTCGGCATAGTGATGGATTCTTCCTTCATGCGAAGCCTTTTGCCCTTGAGGGCTAGAGCATAGCGCTGGAGAGCAGGATCCGAGAACAGCAGGGATCCAAGAGCAATCACAGACGCGCGAGTCACCCCGGGTAGGATGGTGCCATCTAATGGAGGTGTTATGACATCGAGATCTGTTTGGGGGGGTAAGTCAAAGATTAAATGAGAACTTGACGCCATAGTTGCATCAATGAGATGCTCACCACCATCGCTCCGTTTAACTACTATGAAGAAGTTCATCTGACCCACTTCGGTAATATGGCGATCTTCGCCAAGGATCCATAGAAGCTGTTGATAGCCCTCCTACTAGCCTCCGCTTGAGGCTGGAAGCATGGTGTATAATTGATGCCTAATTTGTAGGCACCAGTACCGCCAGGCCATGACCTGACAGCATCGTACTCAGCGTATAGAGATATAGGTTTGAACCCAGAGGGGAAATAAGGCCCGGTTGGTGATAGAATTACAAAAAGCTTTGCATGTGACGACGGTGCCACACCCAAAGCTGCAATGCATCGGTTACGCTACGTTTGGCTTTGAGTTCAGAGTACCCACTCACATGGGCGTGTCCCTATCAGAGTGGGTCTTATGTATAAACTATATCCAGGAAGGGAGGGTATCCAGCGTTTATCAATCACGACAAGCTTCTTGATTAGAATTAAGAGAGCGGCAGTATTAAATGCCTAGTGAGGGTTTCAGTGTCACAATGGCTTTCTTTCAAAAGGAGGCAGAGTGCGTTTTACTGGTAAAGCGAGGCGAGCGGTGCTTGCGGCCATTCGCTTCATATTCAGTCCAGGCCTAAACAAAAGAGGTTTTCCGCTTGGTCCAAGGTATGCCTTCATCCCTTCGAATAGTGCGGGGGTATAATGGAATACTACAGCTCGTTGGTTAGCTGGGCGATAATATCAGTGATAATTAACAGCTCGTACTTGAGCAAGCAGGGTCGAGACTTATGGACGCATAGGGCTTTATGACAGGCACAGACCAGCCCGTTGCAGGATCGTAGTCAATTTCTAACATATGGTCTGTGCAAACATCCCCAAAGCGGAGGGTCTCTGGCAAAGGAATGCTCTTTAAATGACCACTAAGTTGTATAACGAGCGAATCGGGCTATGAAGCTTTACTCTGAGCAATGAGTCACAAAATAAATGGGAGAAACAGACATCTATGTCACGTAGGGGTGTTTCTCGCGATTCCTGCTGGGCCTTTATCGCCGATCGGCAGTTCTGAACAGCAGTTGATGACATTCGCAGAATGGCAGAGGTTTACTTGTCCAAGTTGGGGAGAAATTAGCGAAAAATCAGCAGATCGGCAAGCAGGCATGCACGTGTCATACATCCCGATCACTTCTCGCTCACAGCCGTTTTCCATATTGATGTCCAAACAATGGGATGATTAGAACAAACGTTCCCAACCTGTTATATGTATCAGCAGAATCTATCGACAGTCGAGCGTCATTCGAGGAATAACATCCTGGTCGCTTCGCTTCCTTGCTCAGAACCATACTCAATTCCTACGACCCGAGCTAAAACTGTGAGTCTTTCTACTTTCGCGCGGACCACCGGACCGGGAGTTTTGTTGTACGAGGAATTCTCTGGCCGGACGACTTCACGGCTTTGTGTAACCGCACGAAGCCATACACCGCCAACGTGTCGACCTCTCCCTCAATCGTCGGCTCAGTCATCTAGGATGTCGATAAAGGTTAAGACCAAAGTCTCCTCGAAGGAGGCTCAATCGGTGCTGTAGAACAACATGAGATTCTGGAACCATGAGCCAAGGCACAAAACAATCTAGATGTGAGAGCCTCCCACGCCCATGCCGTCCTAGTTAAGGGCAGGGGTGCTAGTAACGTTCGGAATGGCGTTTTCGGGCGCTGCGTGCTGCACATGTGAGCGCAGATATGTCCCTTCCCCTAGCTTCAAAGGCCCGATCGGCGGCTTACTCACAATGTTGGTGCGATGTGTATGTATTGAGCGCAGGGGCACAGAATGAAACGAGCCAAAATGTTGATGTTTCCCAAGACCACTGAAATCGGAAAATGAGTTACAAAAGTGTAGTAACAACCCCCAAGCAGAACGGGATATGGAGACAGGACGGGACGGGACAGACATAAGGCAATTCGCCTTCAAGCGGCTAACGCCGAGCGGCCAGATGGCGTGGCGGGTGGCGAGGCGTCGAACGTCTTTGTGCTATGCATACAAGAAGGACCCAAAGTCAACCTTACCAGAAATCGGATCATTGTTACCGTCCGTGGATACATTTTTCCAGGTTATGTAACTATATTGAATCCGCCCCTCCGTTTGAGTTTTGTGGGAACTACAGAGGACGTAGCAACTCGCCACTCATGCCACCTTCCGATGCAGATAAATTCCGCGACCATTCGAGTCGAATCCTCACTCGCCCCTCACTCCTCGTCCACCTGAGGCACTACCCCGAGTCTCGACGTGCAGAATACGATGCTCTTCGGGCTCAATGGGAGCGGCACAAATACACCCCTGATGCGCGAGGAGAGCACTGCGACTGTGGCCATGGATGATGAGTTGGAGCAAGCTACACGGTCACTAGTAAGCCTCAATCTCGACATCCCTGGTAGTTGGCCCAAGGACAAAAAGGCAAGGGCGGCACGGACCCGTTCAATCCGTGCCAAAGCCCAACGCCAAATGAGCTTCAGAAAACAACACTATAATCTGCGCTCAGCGACTGGTATGCCCCGCACTCCCTTTAACAGCCTTGCTCGACTTATCTGACTGGCTGGATCAGGCAAACGCAACCAGCCCCCACTTCGACGTAATTCCTCACGCCGAGACAAAGGAGCTCCTCTTTCATCCCCACCCTCAAATACTCCACCCGGACCCGCCAACGCGTCTTTCCGATCACCACATCACTGCCCCTTGAATCCTCGTCCTTCAGCGCCACAAAACCTTCCATCCCCTGACGTACCCCCGACGCCTCCCGCTACAGGGCCCAACTCCTCCTTAGAGGAGTTGTGGACCTGGAAGGAGCACCTTCGCGCCGAGGAAAGAGATCGCCGCCGAAAAGAACGCCAGGAAGCTGCCCGTGTTGCGGACCTCGACTATATTAAGAAAACGCGCAGGGGACTGAAAGAGCAGGAGCGCGACCTCGCAGCGCGCAAGGCTGCGTTTGAAGAGATGAAGCGAGCATTCCGTCGCCAAATGGATGCAGAGTGGGAAACGCTGCAGCAAGCAAAGCGGGCCCAAGCGGAGGCTGACCAAAAACGGCGTGAAGCCGAAGCCGAGCAGGCAAGACAACGAAGGGAGTGGGAGAAACGCGCCCAAGCCGAAGCCGAGGCCCGCGCAGCTCGGGAGGAAGCTCGCCGGCGTGCAGAGGACCAACGGCGCCAAAACCGTCGACACCAGGAGCAAGCCCAGAACGGTCGGCCAGGAACGAGCCCTCCAATAGATCCTCTTCAGTCCCAGTGGGACTGGTATCAGAGGGTATGGAAAGCCCTCCTTTCCAGCGAATCGTATCCAGAGATGGGCACACTCACATATATCAACGTGCCCTGGCCGGTTATGCCTCCGGCCAATTTCCGGTGCACTTCGCCCGACGACATTTCCGTGCTGCTGAATGAGGAGGCCATCGCGGAATTCATCTTCGCTCCCACCATCCTTGGTGACACTGTCAAGAGGAAGCGGCTTCAAGAAGTTATGCTTCGCTTCCACCCAGACAAGGTCTCTCGGTGGCAACGATGGATTCACCCGACGCATCTGGAAGCTGTCCACACGCTTTGTACTATCACCACTAAGTATCTGAATAACTTAAAGGACATGGTCTGATGGCCCTGGCCCACCCACTGCCACGTTCAATTGCTTTGTTTTTTTGCATCACTCTACATTCCTTTAGCGAGTTCCCACTGTCAATCCCACACCTCTCTGTATCGCGCTCACTGCTGATGATCCCCTTCTCGAACTCCGAGCCATTGTATCTCACATTCATCCACGCACGAATACTAATGCGGGAATGCTATAAAAGTCGACCGCCCCCGTGAGCAAACTAATCCAGTATAATCGAGTGGGTAACCAAACAGAGAGCAAGGGGAAAGGCCGTAGTTCGCCAGCGCCATCAGAACAAGCACGCCGCGAATGCCTGAGAACTGACAATAACGCCGGGTCTTCGCCATCTGATCCTTAGGAGAGCTGACGTTCCTAGCGTGGGAAGTAACGAGGAGAGGCTGGATCAGGAGAACTGGTGTGACCTGCCCTAAACCGGCGAAGGAAATGCTGCGTGCAACTCGTGGGCAGGTCTTCAAGATGGCAATATGGGGGGGAAATACTGAGTATGAAGCCATTCTATGATTCCCCAAATATGCTACGCAGCATGCCAGGCATGGGCTAAAAAGACTTCATTGAAGGATGAATCTTGTCCCCAACGTCCTCGGCTGATTAAAGAACCGATACGTCCGTCGATAATGTGCAAATGGGTTAGCACTGGACTGCACGGGGTGTTCAACTAAACTGGCTGCGAAGGAAGCGGACGGCGCCGTTTCGTTGGGACCAGTGTGAAGAGGGCGATCGGCAAGTTGATAAGGCGAATCAAAATTGTAGGTTTCGCATTGGTTGAAGGCGACACAGATCTGGTGAGCGGTGATATATCGCAACGAGTTTCGACTGGAATTCGTGAGTGTGAGAGAAAAGGAGCCAGTGAATCGCACAGCGGTAAGTTGAGTCCCATGGCCGAGAGATTCAAATTATGTTTACACGAAAGAGCGAATGAGGCTTGGGTTCGCTGGGAAATGAAATACAGATCGGGAGCTAATGAACGCTGGTTGGACCTTTACAACATTGCGGAGTTGGCCGAATCCATTGTTGAGGTGATCATTGATCAAAGCATTTTGGAACATACGATTGGGCCCTATCACCTCGCATAGAGCATTGTAGACCATGTCCAAACCTTACGTTGTGTTCGGCTACGGATCACTCATTTGGAAGGTGCATATTTCACTAAGATCCTGCGCTCAGCCTCTTGCGGATCTCATTCGATTTGAGCCATCAGCCGCCACCGCACGTCATCGAAGAAAGTATGCATAATGTGCTCCTCGCCTCTCGTTTCTATAGCACTGAGGCTGCCAAACATTTAGCTCCCGGTTTTCTTAAGGGTTATGTTCGTCGCTTTGCCCAGAGCTCAAATGATCATCGAGGCACTCCAGAGGTCTGTGATCCGGTTTTTTTCTTTAGTGAAAGATAGGGTGCCTAAAATAATTAATCAGTAGGATCCCGGTCGTGTGGGTATGGGTCAAATTGCTAGCATTGGTTTGCGGTTGCACAAAGCTGAGCGAGCCCCAATTGGTCCAGTCACACTCATCCACATCGATGAATGGAACAAATTCTCTTCCACCGTAAGGACTTCCATCCCCAGAACGTGTCTTCCATTAATGGCTTGCGATTTGTCCTAGGACATTTTCCCACATGAAGATGTTGTTTGGGGTATTGCGTACACGATAGCCCCAGTGTATGCCGCGGAAACGAAAACATACTTAGGTACCGAGGCTCTATCTTTCTCCTCGCTTTGTTGACATTAATACTCCCCAGACTACCGGGAAAAGGTGGGATTACTCTGATTTTGGGCAAGCCAATACTGATAATGATTCTTTCTAGAACGGATACTCCGAGGCAACCGTGGACGTCTGGGGCTTACGTGATGGAGAAGAAGTAGTAATAAGGCCTAATGTACGTTTGATTTACCAACATGCTCCTCTTCAAATGCCTTACGCCTCTTTGGTAGGTAACGGTATGCTGGATTCACCCTGACCCCGCTGCGTACGACTAACATATAACAAAGGTGTACGTAGGACAACCAGACAATCCGGCATTTGGTAAGTCCATGCCAATTTCGTTCTTATTTGATGTCCCTGTGCCCACTCATCGGCGTCCAGTTGGATCTGAGCCTTACGACAAGTTGGCTAAACACATTTGGTCGCACCAAGGGGCATCTGGCCAAAACAAGGTCCGTATGTCTTAATTCGACAACCGAACCGCTTCTCACCACCGGGATGCTGCGCTCAGGATTACCTTTACAAACTAAGTGAGAGTATCCGTCGCCTGGCCCCAGAAAGTCACGATTCCCACCTGTTCACGCTAGAACGCATGGTAAGGGCCATAGACGCTGCAGAAGCGCAAGATTTCGCCGTGGGTAATGGAGCGAAGAAGAGTCTGAGTCTGACCGTCAGTAATTCCGGTTGACCACTTGTCAAGAAACGATAGAATCCATCGTCTGCTGACTTGCTCCAAAACAATCCACGCGGTTCTCCAGTGATGAGAAACTTAGGTGTGAAGTACGGATTAATGTTGATCAGATTTCCCGGCTATGCAGAAGGCGCCGGCCAGGTCCCGCGATCCCCACCAGCTCCAGACAGGCATCCTCCCTACAGGTTCACCCTCCTGAGGCAACCTTCGGTTCTATCAGTCGTACCGCTACCCGGTGTACCCTCCGACCTTCCAAATAAAGTCTCCAAAGCCGACTACGGGACTTCCCACAACTGCAATGATAGCCGAAGTTAGTGTAAATTCGCCGCCCAAGTTGAGCTTTTGGCCTTGTTACCTGCGAGAAACGAAGTACGATCACGAATGATGTGCGAGGCACACGCACAGTTCTTGTATACTGCAAATTCCCGTCCTGAATTGACATACAACCATCGAGACTCTGAACGTCCCGATGCCCCGAATCACACCTCAAGTGGAATCAATCAGAGAACCACAGCAGATGCCTCCCAGGCCGTCGTACGCTTAAAGACTGCGCTGCCAGCTTCCAAAGCAAAACTTTTAAGAGAACATCCAGAAGCTTGTCGCATCACTGCTATGTATTGGAATTAGGATGTCCAATTCGGATGGATGAAGGTACCGGGTTGCCAACATGACCATCAATCAATTCGTAGACGCTAAGAGATCTACGTTGTCCTCATGGACACAACGCTTGTGGGAGTCACGATGGTAATTTAATATGTCGTCCAGGCTGTACTGCAGCATGGTCGTGCCACGCTCCAATCACGGCCGATTTCGCAATATAGTTGCCACACCCTTCACTCCACGGCGTTACCACATTCACGAAGCTGCGTGCAGGTGCTTCCAGCTGTTCACTAGATCAAAATTGTTAATCCATCCGATTTGTCGGTAGACCGCAGTACTTGCGCGACTGACGGATGGATTGGCCTCAGCAGATGGTCATGGACGCCCATGACCATATGTGGCTATGAACTTAAACCAAGTGCTGCCTCTTCTGTTCAATAGCAGGAACATCCCGGCCTATATATTGCGAGTTAACAAACGGATATTGGCCAACGGTCACGATCCTGATCTGGCTATCCTCCGCTATCTGCTGGCCCCCTCCCACCTTTCCTGTGGACGATAGATATTCAGTTTATTTGTGATGGAGCCAGTGATACGGGATCTTGCAGAGCGCGCACTTCAGAGGCTAGATCAAGGGTGAGGATTTGAAGTCGACTTCCTCGTGTCTTTTGCTTGTGTCTGAAGAAGGCAGATCACAATCTTGACACGCATTCATGGAATCCCTTCACCACAACGACTCGACATTTTGCGGCCTTCCATGTTCTGAAACCGATGAAATTGATGCCAATGACCGATCATGCATACATTTTGCAATAATAACACAAGACGCCACTCTGGACGAATAATCATCGGAGTATGCGGTATACCCGCAAGCGGCAAAACAACCCTTGCTAATGCAGTAGTAGGACGGATTAACGAGCTTTATAGGGCTGCTCCACACAAGTCACACACAGGGACAAGTGACGGCGCCACTTCTCCGAATATCGCCATCTGCGTGGGTCAGGATGGTTGGCATCTGCCTCGATCTGCGCTGGACAAATTTGAGAATGTGAAGCTTGCGTATGATCGGCGAGGAGCAGCGTTCACGTTTGATGGTGCCGCTTTCTCCACCTTCGTGCTCAGCCTCCGATTGGCAGCCTCAAGTAAGGATGATGCCGCTCGTTCAGAAGTGATTACTTCTTCCCCTATGAAGCCACAGGACGGGCTAGAATTGAGTGTGGAAGAACCAGTTCCTCCCGGACAGGAGGTAAATAGCTCGCCAGTGGCCGGCATTTTGCCGAGGACGTCCTCTCATGACCAATTTGTCGTTCGTGCCCCTTCCTTCTCTCATACCCTGAAGGACCCAACGCCCGATGCAATATCAATCTATCCCTATCATCGAATTGTCATCATAGAGGGGCTATATACATTCCTAGACGTGGACCCCTGGGATGTTGCAGCACGCGCGCTGGACGAACGTTGGTATATCGATGTTGATGAAGCAGAAGGAAAGAGGCGGCTTATAGCTAGGCACGTCGTAACGGGAGTTGCCAAGGATTATGAAGAGGCCGTCTGGCGTGCCGAAAACAACGATATACCAAGTGAGTTGCTTTCGCTACCTCCCTGGGTACAAGGAAAAACGACTGGATTCGACTGATTCGGTTGGCATTTCGCATATTTATTTGCCGGCTCCTTGTTCGGACTTCAAACGATTTTAGATGGACAATTCATTAAGGAGCATATGCTAGAGCCCACCCGTGTCATTCGGAGTATCAATGACAGGACAATTGCAGCTCAGAGTGGAACGGAGTAGGAATAGGAGGCAATCTGAAATGGCCGTTAACTATCTTCATGTCATACTCTTACATTGAGTACCCAAAAAAAGCGGCTATCTATGCATGATCTGCAGAATGAATTGTCTGTAAGGCTCATGGATGCTCCAAATCAATGGTACGGTGGGAGATACGCCCGAGAATCTAAAAGCCGCGAACATATCAATCCAAAGTGCGATTCGTGCTGAAATTTTCGTGATACATTCTTTCAAGGGCACTGTTCACGAGTTCATCTTTCCAGCTGCTACCGTTTCCCCGCATTATATCGCTTGGGACATCTTTTGTTTGAATAATGATGCTCGGTACAATACTGAAAGCTCGCAATCGGTGTCCTTGAATGAGACGAACGAGCGCTTGATCCAAGGCCCGGCTGTATGCAAACGGTGTTCCCCCGCAAGGTACATCATGACAGAACGGACCTTGGTGCTGTGTCTCGATCCCACGGTGATTGGCCCCCGAATGATGGAAGTGAGGGAAATGAGTGGCAGTTGTACGGAGATGGCGAATAATGCGGTTGGCTCCGGATTTGGAAACTGCATATGCATGCGTGCATTTAGGAGAAATTGAGGGATGCAGAGCAAATGTGTATGATGTCGCTTCTTTGTGGTTTGTATAGTCGGAATAGTTTAAAATCGTGACGCTCCGCAAAGCGGTGCGGGTACCTTCGCCTGGAGACCAACAGTGTCCTGAGAAAGTCCGTTAGTGCTATTAAATTATCGCCACAATCTTTGAATCCAGAGTTGCAAACACCCCTTTCACGTGAGCGGTCAAACAAAGTGGCCAATCGGAAGACGCGTAGAAGAGAGAATCAGGCAGTGCAGCCAGACATTTGAAAGGAGAGACGCAGGGCCCAAAACGAATATGGCAGCATAGTTCCACATACCAAGGAAAACGATATCCCATCGAGCAGGCAGAGAAGGCCAAACCAGCGCGAGACGAGCTTTGAGATCAAATTCCATGTCCACGTCATCTTCAAGTACCACGGCCACACTGTCACCGCCCTCGGAAATACGCCTTAGCACCCCAACGTGAGAATGCCAACAAGCGATCATCCCCCGCGAGAGAGTCAGGTGAAAGGGGTAGGGCGAATGAGGCAGAGGGATAATTTGTGGGGTGTCATTGACTTCTTTTCCCAAACTGAGGGCATCAGCAGTTCCACGTATGAGATTTCCAAAAGCACCATCGTGAGATTGCATAAGCGAAGGCAATGAAAGAGGTAGAGGGGTACATGGGAGCGGCAGGCGAAAGTCCGGGCTCGGAGGATCCGGAAGAGGGTTGGTGACTTGCGAGGAGCGTTTGTCTTGCAGAGGATCCAATGTCCACAAGTCAGAACCATCGAGGCCTAATTCGTCCGTCTCTGAACAATCGCTGTCGACTTTCAAATGGCAGGGCTGAGCATCAGGGGGCCAGTGTATATAGTCGGAACGTTCCAGCCCGGTGAGATTCGAAGGAAGCTTAGGAGAAAGCCCCCAATGGATACGAAGAGCATGCAGAGACCGTTCCCATCGCACTCGTTCCATGATTACGGTCACAGCAGCATCAGATGCATCCGTAGCATTAACGAACGTGAACTTGAGACGCATGAATTCTGCTAGAGCCTTCATTTTGACCCGTCTGTCATCACGGCGAGGCAGTGAGATGACAAATATACGTCCGGCTATTCCGAGTGTGGCATTTGTGTAGGGTTGAGGCGATGATAAGGCGGTATGTTGCAACACTACATGATCTGGTTGGGGAGAAACCGACAGAGATTCAGAAGAGGCAGGTAGTGTTGGCTTCTGCTGCAGTAGTACGTCTGAATTCAGCGAAACGAATTGAAAAACAGGATTGAGGGCGATGACCAGAAGCGTTAAGGAGGTGATCATGACAAATATTGCCAGCGCCAGAAGGGTGAACTTCATTGTGTGGGGACGGACTGCCGCGAGGAACATGGCGATTACAGTAACAGTACTATCAGTATCACGGCACCTTATAACCGATGATTGAGAGTCAGCTGCTGGGGGGGTTGGTCCTGGAGTAGGAATATTCGAAGGAGAACGAATCAATCCTCCTCCAAAAGGCAGCCCAGAATCTGTGTTCTGGAATCCGATCAGCGAAGCCTTCCAACGATGCTAGGATAGTGAATGATTGAAATCTAGGCCGCCAGGTTAAGGAACGGAGCCCGCCGCGCGTTCAATTTCACATTCCAATCGCGCTCATCACTTGGAAAACGGTGAGCTACTAGCTCAGAACTATCACAAGTATATTTCGACCAGTTATCCAACCGCCGTCTGTCTGCACAAAATGTGAACGGAAATCCGCTGGGGGGTAACTGTTGTCCTTTGTTGAATCCGAGGATATCATTTCGGAAGCAAGCCCTTGTATCCATCATCCGTTTTACGAAATAGCAACGCATCCAACCTGCTCGTGGTGGCTTTTGCTATTGACGGCGTCTCTCCACCTTCAGCGCCCAACGAGGACTATAGCACCGGCAGTGAACTCTCTTTATCTGATTTTTCCGTATTTTACTTCCAACTAGGGAAGTGCTGAAAATGGCGATCTCCTTTGGATCTTTCGATGGCATATGCCAACAAGCGGCGCTCATCGTTTGTCCTCTTGTGGGGACAGCTCAAGGCATCGAGCCAACGTGCTATAGCCGAAACGTTCAAATCGGACGGACACTAGTGTTTCAACCTGGTAGGAAGCCTGCGGGCTTTTCGCGCCAATGATGAAAAAAAACGGTGAACTTAGAACAGTGCACGCAACATCTTCTTCCCCACAGCGGCATGCTTTGTCCACATCGTAGCCATTATCATGACCCTCATTATGATCTTCCATATCCGAAGTAAATACACGGCTGTTGGTAAGTGGGATTCCCATCGCGCGCAGCTCTGTCGTTTCAGAATGAACCTCAGAATCATGATTGAACGTTCCTTAGGTCGAAAGGAGATAGTCATGTTCTTCTATTTATATGCTATCATCGAACTCCTTGCCATGTTCTTGGATTCTGCCATTATACCTACGTCAAGTAACGTTTATCCAGTGCGTGATATGTTGAATGTTTTCTGGGATACTAAAGCACAGTTGGCATATGTAGTGGTTTGCCGCAATATACACGGGCTTAGTGGCAGGGGCTTACATGTGCCTTCTAATCAACGGTTTTGTTGGTTTCCAATTCGCTGAAGATGGAACTGCTACTTCTTTATGGGTGCGATTTTCTCCGGTGGCTTAGCGATCGTTGGGTTACTGAGTGAATCTGATATATTCGGGTGTTTGTAATCATAGGGCTTACGAACCGCAACACTGGTAGCGTTCGGCGTTACGTTCTTCATCGCTATTGCAACATTCCAAGGTTTTGCTGGCCTTAGCTACAAAAAACCGATCGCTTTATGGATCATCTACATCATATGGCCGCTTGTATGCGTTATCGTCTACGTTGTCTTGCAACTCGTCCTCGTAGTTCGCACACTGGACGACCGATGGCCAATAGGTGATATCCTGTTTGGTATCGCCTTCTTCACGGTGGCCCAAGTGATCTTGTTCGCATTCAGCAACCTGATCTGCGATGCGGTGAAACACTATATCGACGGTCTTTTCTTCTTCCAGCTGTGCATGCTATTAAGCGTGATGATGGTTTACAAATACTGGGATTCCATCACGAAGGAGGACTTGGAGTTCAGCGTTGGGAGTAAAACATCGGTGTGGGAGGTCAAAGATCCGCTCTTATCCGTGGTTCCTCGCGGTGGGGAATATGACGATGATCATCAGAGCAATTATCATCCACAACCTAGCCTTGTGGGCGGTGTCAGTGGTGGGCAGCTATATCAGGCGCAACCTCACGGCTATCCTCCGCAGAACTATTGATGGTTTTTCTCTCTTGGTTTGTTCCGTCGTGTGATGATTTCCTTGGGACATTTGTACTAGAGCTTTCAGGGAGGGCTGAGATGGGTTGGGTTGCAAGCGGCTCCGTCCATCTATCCCCTTTCATTATACCACCATCTCAAGCCATGGACCTTGTTCTTTTTTCCCTTCGCCAAACATTGTAACATTGCAGTAATCAAATATTTTTTATTACTTCACCGTAGGAAGGGTAAAGTAAAGTGCTGTGGGTGTTTCTTTTGATCTTCTATTTCCCTTCTATTTGCACTCGGAATTTATCCTCCCTGTGCGGCCGGCGAGCGCGTTACCTGGAGTGCGGGAAAAAGCACAGGGACGCGGAAGTTGATTCCACTGTCTCGGGCTTTTCCTCCAGCATTCTTTTTTTTCTTCCCTTTTCTCGGACTTTTCTCTTCACTTCGGGATTAGGTTGGAGATGGATGCGCATGATGAGAAAGTAATTACCTGCATATAACGCTACTTCTGTGCATCTACCGAGTCACACTAGACCAGGATAGGATCAAATATCAAGTATTGGTTTTCTTTTTTTGGTGCGACAGGCCAGGGCAGATCAAGTATCATGCATTACACAGATCTAACCAAATCTCCTCTTCTTCCTCATATGATTGTGATTGACCCTTTTGGAGGGGCATGATTCAGTCGGCGTGGTCATGGGCGGCCACACGGACACGTGGGCAGGGGCGTTCATGGAAAGCCTCACTCCACTTCATGTTACATATGCAATGAGCGCTGCGAGCCGCTGAACGTTGAGGCCACAGTACTTGAGCTGGGAGGCTGGCATGACGCCTAGTACATGCAGGTGGAGGTTTCCCCGGGAATTAATAGATCGGGGAACACCCCCTGAGGCTGTTGCAGAGTTTTCTCTCCTCTCCTCTCACCGGCCCCCTCTTTCCCATGTTTGCTGCAGTTACACGTGTGCAACATGCAACGACCCTTTTTTTTTGCCTGTCTCCCTTTCCCCTGTCATGTGTCTCCCGCCTTTGAAGATTCGTGTTTTACGTTCCGAGACAAAGTTAGACAAAGGGTAAGGGTTCAAGAGGGAACCAAAAAAAAAATTGAAGACGTTTACGTTGCCGTCTGGCCTAAATGGCTACGGGGCGTTGTCAATACAGATCCTGTAAATGTAATGTACTGTAAAATATAGCACAAAGTAAAACTCTTATTGGAATGAAGTGCCGCGGGCGCGGCGCCATGCGCAAGGTTTTACGTTTAGGTTAGCTTCACATAGCTGCGGGCGCCACGGGGTGGTGTGAGAGGCTCCTTTATGGGGAAAAGCCATGGGTTAACGGTGTTACAGTATGTGTAAATAACTTCGGCTAACTCCGCTACACTGCAGTAACCTAGACTTGCGAAACAAGCGCGTGAGGTGTTGTTGACGGATCAGAGGAGGGGGCCTTTGCGCCGTTTTCTTCCACATGCGTGCATATTTGTTATTATTGGTTATATCTTCTTCCACTGCCTTCACCGGTCCAATATTTGATGCCTTCTCTGATCTTGGTCGTTTGTTCTTCTTTTCTTCACTCTTTTTGGACTGTAGTCTCTGGCCACGGAAAAAGGGGGAAGGGGGGAGGGATTCGTGCCGCCAGGGAGGTGTGGGAGATGACTCGCTAGCTTTTTTCACTATCATCCAGTGCTGGAAGTGGATGTTTTGATCTGAATGAGATTCGTTGATGATATTGCCGATATGAGCTGGCGAATTCGAGGAGAGACGCAGTCGGACATTAAACTGGCGCTCGTGTAGAAACAATTTGGAGAAAAAAGAGTACGTGTTACTTATACGCTATGTAATAAAGTATGGTACACTGCGAGGCCGTGCCCTGTCAGGATATGATGGGTTAAGGAGCTGTGGTGGTGGAGGGTAATTAAGGTGGTAAATCGCAGGTTGAGTGATATATACCATATATACATGTTAAGTTGGATGGAATGTGAAGCCCGAGATGGCGAACCCAGGATTGGATATTAGTGTGGATGAAGGGGTGGCGATGAAGGTGGAGATGGAAGTACGGATATGGATGGATGGATGGCTGGATGGGGACGGTGCGGGCGGAAGAAGAGAATATATGTATCATCGTTGTGAGCAGCAGAGATAGATCATGGACCGAGTTGATTACAACGAACCAACTGGGACAGGATGTGATCGCTTTTGAGGAGGGAGAGGCAATTTAGTGCATGTTTATTTGACCCTTTTTTTCTTTTTCGTTCCGTTGGGATGATTGCCCGGATTGGGTGATAATTCCCATTGGGAATCGATTACCCTTCGTTCGATTCCCTGGCTTTCATTGCCATAGCCAATACAACTGCGGGTTTCCCAGAAAGAAAGGAAAGGGAAAGGGAAATAATATTGAATATTAATGGCAAAGGAAATATTTACTAGTTTGCAATGTTACATTGATAGCTATATATGCGATGCCGCGTTACCCTTATACAGCAGATATCATCCCCCTCTCCCATATGAATTACCCTATTCCGTATATTCCGTGTTTTCTCGAATTTTTCGACAGGGAGAGAACTCAAATGAGCTATGTGAAATCCATTCCTTTGATTTGATTATGTCGCTGTGCTCTCTTGTGTCCTCTCTTCTACATATTCTCCATTCATTTCTTTTCTTTTTCTCGTGTCCCGTCGTCTCCCTCCAACCGTCATTGCATTTACCAATCTCATCAGGCCAATGCGGCTAAAGATCCTTACCCTGACGAGTCCCATCTCCTTCCCGTACCCAAACTCGTCATCTATAAAGATACTCTCCATTATTATCCTCGTCCGCACCCCACGTAGCAATGACTCTCGCATGTCCACCACCGTTCATGTCTATCCATCCCCTCACCTCTTTCCCCAGCTTTCACCGCTCAGGTCAGTGCTCTTTTCCGTCTCTTTTACTCCTTCGTCCTTCTCCCTTGACATCGACCATGCTCACAAACCCTTCTTTTCCCAACAATTTAGTGACTAGTCAACGTTCTCAATATCGCCAAGACGATTACTGGCTTGCACCTGGACCATCGCATTCCCCGCGCGGACCGTCCAAGATGCAACCTCAGCTCCCATACCAGCATCAACTGCAGCAGCAGCAGCAACAGCAACAGCAACAGCAACAGCAGCAACACCAAGCTCCACAACAGTCGCGCCCGCCTGCTCATGAACTCTCCTCTGCGCTCGAGTCAGTTCACCTTTCAATCAAGAAACCTAGCGTGGTGTCCAAATCATCAGCCGGAATGGCTTTGTCTTCATCTGGTCGTCGGCAGCAGCGCTCACCGCGGTCTCGCTCATCTCATCCATACATGGACGGAAGAGCGACCCGACCGGTGGTGCAGCACCCGCACGCTCCGATCGAGACAACTTTCGTCGCCCAGAACACAGGCGATATGATGTGCTACCTGTGGTTCTCCTCAAGTTTCAAACCTAAAGCTGGGACGCCGACTATCGTCGTCGAGAGCAATGTTCCACCGGATGTCAAAGCCGAACTAGCACGACTGCAGTTTAACCCATCTGCCGAGTTCATTAGCTTCCTGGGTACTCTCCTTTCCACCACTCAAGTTAGCCAGAGCGTCATCATTCTCTCGCTTTATTACATCTACCGCCTGAAATTGAGCAATCCTCACATACGAGGTATGGAGGGGAGCGAGTTTCGGTTGGCAGTCATCGCGTTGATGCTAGCCAACAAATTTCTCGACGAGTCAGTTTACTTTCTCCACTCCTTGTCGTCCCACTTGTTCACCGATATATTTCACATAGTAATACATACACCAATAAAACCTGGTCGGAAGTGTCTGGGATCAGTCTTGGTGAAATCAACCTAATGGAGCGTGAATTCCTTGCTGGTGTCGAACACAGCTTATACATCGACTATGGTACCTACCAACATTGGGGGACTCTCCTGAATGGCCTTCTCATGGCCAAAGAACGGGAAACGCAGTCCTGGAGACGGCGTTATACCGATCGATATGTTGTCGGATACCCATCTCATTCTCCAGTACCGTCTCAGCCTCCCTCCAAAGCGGCCCTACATCCCCCTTCATATCCATCACGACATAGTCAACGCGCACGATCCACTTCGCCCCTCCTCACGAATCGGCATTCATCCACGACATACCCCTTCACTTTTGCAATATCCGGATCCCAGGCGAATCCTTTCACTTTGCAAGTAAAGACAGAGCAAGGTGGACATTTCCCATTCCCTCACTCAACGTTTACCTCACCTACGAAACCCGTGATAACATCCTCAAAGAGAAGCGCGCTTGACGCGTTCTCTCCTCCACCCCTCGTTCCGCTCAAGTTGCCCAAGCGTGAATCCCCAGCACCGATGGCAGTCCGATGGATGATTCGCCTATGGATCTTACACCTATCGACGGAATGAGCATTGGAATGGCGAGCGCCCCTACTTCACCGGTTGAGATTGTGAAACCTCAAGAGCCAATGAAGCCGAGAACCCTTCAGGCGCCGTATGAGCATGACCATGTCAAGCACACGAGCGCTATGCCCCAGGTAAGCCTTCGTTTGAAAACGTCATTCATTCCACGGTGACTTGGTTTTTGTTCCGCGTTTTACTGACTTTAAATTGTTACTCTCATTTTCACTACAGTACCTCGCATTTAATACTTTGGCTTCAACTCCAATGGATGAAGTATTAACAGGTTCAGAGGCTCGTGTTGGTGTTGGTGCTCGAAAGACGGTATTACGCTATCATGATCCCCGTAAACTGCCACCACCCGAGGCCTATCCTCACCAAGTTTTCAATCTCGGACCATTAACTTCATCCTCATTGTCGTCGTCGTCGTCGGTTCCTGGCTATTTGGTCTATCCTCATAGACGGGACGACTTTGTTCCGATGCAAACTCAATCAGCACGGACGAGTCCGAGGGATGGCGGTCATTGGGGTATGACTGGACCTGTTCAATCGCCGTC